GACTAGTACTAGGGCCAGAATGATAGCTTAGCAAGTTAATGTACTTATACAGCAACACTACTGACCAGAGTTCCACCTCCAGAACCCTTAGTGGAAGAACTGACTCCATGATCCTCATGGTCCAGGAGTAGTGCCCTCCCATATCACACATGATAAAATTAAAAGCAAAACAAAACAAAACAAAGAAACAAACAAAAAAACCCACCAACACCAAATGGATAGGTTGCAAAGTTTACACAATAACCAAAGCTTAACTCAAACTGAAATGCATAATGAGTTTGAGGTTTCTGGCAGAGCTAGTCTGTGCTATATCAATAACTCCACTGAAGCCTGGTTATGACACAGGTGAGCACTTCATACAGTGTATACCATCAAGTTACACAATACACCTTGATATTTCATTTCACAATAAATCATGTATAATTACAACTGCAAATATTCACAGCTGAACCAGAGAGTACCCTGACTCCACAATTCTACAGGAAAGAACAAACATAGGAATAAGAAATTTAAAATATTTTACATGTTCTGGCTTCATGTCAGAAGAGGGTACCAAATCTCATTATAGATGCCTGGGAGCCACCATGTAGTTGCTGGGAATTGAACTCAGGCCCTCTGGGAGAGCAGCCAGCGCTCTTAACCTCTGAGTCATTTTTCCAGCCTGAGCTCAGAAATTTAAGACAGATAATTTAAAGTATCATGTATAATCTGGTATGTTAAAGTTGAGATGCAATCAACTTAAAATTCTTTTTACCTAAGGGACAAGAAAGAATAATACATTTTACAAAAAAAAAAAAAAATCCAAACCTCAGAGACAATTTCCAGTTTTTACGCATCTATAGAATGCAGAAAAAAGAAAAGGATTTTTTAATGTATATATGGGTGTTTGGCCTGCATGTACATTTACACACCAGAAGAGGGTATCGGGTCCTTCGGGACTGCAGTAATAGACAGTTGTGACGGGCCATATAGGTACTGGTAGTTGAACTCAGGACCTTTGGAAAAAGAGCCTGTGCTCTTAACCCTGAGGTATCTCTCCAGCCCTGGAACACTCTTTAAAAAACAAAAAACAAAACAAAACAAAACAAAACAACAAAACAAAAACAAAAGTGGTGAGGGGGATGAAAACAACTCTGGTAGAGTGCCTATCTATCATGCTGGGGTTCCATCCCCAGCAACACATTCAAGAAACAAAACTCAAGTGCTGGAGAGATAACACAGGGATTAGTATCACTCACTGCTATTCCACATGTCCTGAGTTCAATTCCCAGGAACCACAGGGTGCCCAGTTCCAGATGTGACTCTGTCTTTTAGCCACCAGGGGACTAGGCACTAAAGTAGTGCACAGACATACATGTAGACCAAACACCCACACACATAAAAATAACATTGGAAAAAAACAAATAAAGGTCAGATGCACCACACAAAATGTGTTAACCCAGATCTGGGGTAGAGTGATTCTGTCCCAATGTTGGGATAATTCTTGAGCTCCTGATTCAGTGAAACCCTTTTTTCAAATAAGAATATTGAGGGACTGGAGACAGTTAAGAATGTGCTCTTGCAGAGGACACAGTTCAGTTCCCAGCATTCCTGTAAGGCATCTCACAAGTGCCTGTGACTCTAATGACAGGGAATGTAAAAGCCTCAGGCTACCATCACCTGCATTCACATGCACATATCCACAAACAGACACACACACACACACACAATTAAAAATAAAAAATATAAAATTAAAAAAGACTGAGATTGATTGAGAAAGCTACCTGATCATTTGGCATCCATTCACGTGCACATACGTGTATGCACACCCACAAGCACAGGTATACACACCATACCCACACTTTTTAAAAATGGCTTGAAATGTCCACAGCAACATTGGAAGGAAGCAGTAGAGATTCTGCTTCTACTTAACTTTTGAGTGAAAATAATTTTCAATCTTGATTTCATACACGGCAAAATTAATGGTCAACAAGAAGGTAAAATAAATTATTTTGTACTCACTCAATATCTGAAAAGTTCTTACTGCCATGTGCCATGTGTCAGGAAATTATCAAGAGGACATACTCCAAAGATATTAATAAAGAAATAAAATGGTGGAAAAATTATCCAATAAAGAAGAGCAAGGGGAATTTTAAGGATGACATAAAGAAACATCCCAAAGTAAGAATGTAAAAGAACATAGATGAAAACCACAAAACCAGGCTGTATTTAAAACAACAGGGGGTGCTGGAGAGATGGCTCAGAGGTTAAGAGCACGGGCTGTTTTACCAGAGGTCCTGAGTTCAATTCCCAGCAACCACATGGTGGCTCATAACCATCTATAATGAGATCTGATGCCCTCTTCTGGCTTGCAGGCAGACATGAAGAGAGAATACTGTATACATAATAATTAAATAAATCTAACAACAACAACAAACAGGGGCTGGAGAGATGACTCAGCAGTTAAGAGCACTGACTGCTCCTCCAGAGGACCTAGGTTCAATTCCCAGACCCACATGGCAGCTAATAACTGTAACTCCAAGATCTGATACCCTCACACAGACAAACATGCAGGCAAAACACTAATGCACATAAAATTAAAAAAAATTATTTTAAAAAAGAACAAGAGATTTTTTGGCAAACACCTCTAGTCTCAACACTTGGAAATGAGAGGCAGAAGAATCTTGAGTTCCAGGCCAACCTGGCTTGATAGTGATACCATTTCAAAAAACAAAAATCAAGAGGAAAAAAAAACAGAGGGCAATTATTCCAAGGAAGACCTGAAGAAATTAAGCCACTGTATTCCAAAAACCTATTAATTCCTACATAAACATCAACTATTTGACAAGAAATTATATCATAGTATATGGTTCAGCTATATTTAGTTATATTAGCAGATACTATAACTATATTGAGAAGGAAAAGGCAGTGTTAAGTTTATGTGGAACTGATAATGTAACACCAAGGAATATTTTAAACTGAGGAAAAGCCCTAGTAAAACTATTCCATCAAGAAATAAACTAGGTAACGGGTGATGGGCAGTGGTGGCAGATGCCTTTAATCCCAGTACTTGGGAGGCAAAGGCAGGCAGATATCTGTGAGTTCCAGGCCAGCCTGGCCTACAGAGTGACATCCAGGACAATTTGAGCTACACAGAGAAACTCGGTGGGGGGTAGGGGGTGTTGCTGAACATCCTTGATCCCAGCACTTTGAGTGGCAAAGACAGGTAGATTAATTTGAGTTCAAGGTCTGTGAATTTGAGGCCAGCCTGGCCTACAGAGCAAGATCGCTGCAGCTAGGATTACACAGTGAGACCATTAGAGATAAATTTAAACCACAGTGAGGGAGGCAATAAAACAAAGGTATTTACAAATATAAAGTGAGGTGACACTTAAAAGAAGAAAAATAGGTACCATCTAAAGTACAGAGACTGGAACAAGGGTGGCAGGCTTTTTTTTTTTTTTTTCCTGTTATCTTATTTTAAAACTCAGGTAATTTTAAGGGTCATAAAACAAGGAACTTAGGACAATCTCCAGTTTGTTCTGATGTATATAAAGACTAAACTGCTGATAAAGCCAAGCTTAAATGACTAGTATAAATATATTATAAACAGCCTAATGGCTTGACTCACAGCCCCATCATTTAGCGTGAAGTGGGGCAAGTTACCTAATCAGGCAGCAGGGCAACCTCCTCCCTCAAGTGCTTTTGCAAGGATAATTACTGAAAACTATCTGATGTAGACAGGGTTGACCCATAATGAATTTGACTACTTTCTGTGAGTCTTTCTGTTCCTCAGTTAGAAGCCCTCATTCTGACCCCAAGCTGTCTTGTTGGTCACAAAGCATAAGAGAATGGACACATGGACAACTCAGCACATATCCTTGTTAGTGCTGGAAAACCATTCATGATGAGCAAGCAGACTTATCTTTGTATAAGAAGGGCAGCATTATTCTTGTTATATGAAGAGGATTATCCCCATTATCCACATTCTGGATTATTGCCAGCTCTCAAGAATTATCCCAATTAGTCTATAACATTGGGACAGAATCATTTTTCTTTTCATTTAGGTCTACTTTGCAGTGTTGCTAAGGTCTTCAAAACCAACCAAACAAACAGAAACTACAATCATCAGTCCTCATTCCCACATTTTTAATACACTACTTCACAATCCTTCTAATGATAGTCTCATCTGCACTACATCAAGGGAGAAATCAGCTCAATTCAGCTAAATAAATTGCCATAGCCAACATTATGATTATTAACTATACCTAAATTCATAATTCCAACAAAAGTACAAAGATAACAAGAGTATTAAGGGATATCCTTTATCAGCAAGTCAGTCATCTAGCCAACCAGAGGTCTTGACTTTTGTTTTGGTTCATGGAGGCCAGGTGGGTTTCATATTCACATTGGGCTGAGGATGATTTGAATTCCCAATATCCTGTCTCCACCTCCCAAGTACTGGTGCTAACCCTAGAAATGACCATATGTAATCCTATTCTCCCTCTATGGGAAAGGTAAAGTTAAAAAAACATTGAAAGCACCAGAAACAGCAGCAAAAAGTCCAGGAAATGACTGTCTGGTATAAAAGAATTTATGACATAATTGAGAGTTAAGAAAATTACAAAAACTGAACCCATTGAGCCTACCTGTCAACACAGAAACAAGCCTGCTTACAAAACATTAGCCTAATTAAAGCAATTTCACACACAAAAAAAGAACAAACAAAAAACCAGGATGAAAGGATAGCTCAGTACCTGAAAGTTTGCTGTTTTTCCAAAGGACCCAAATTTGGTTCCCAGAATCCATGTTGGGCAGCTGACCCCTGCCTGTATGTCATTCCGGCTCCATGAGATTCAAAACACTCTCTTCTGGCCTCCTCACAGGCAACCCCACACATGCAGCATACACTCACATATACACATAGTAAAAAGTTAATAAAAGAAAAGGCGGGGGGGGGGGGCGGCTAGAGAGATAGCTCAGTGGTTAAGAACACTAGCTGGTCTTCCAGAGGTCCTGAGTTCAATTTCCTGAGTTAAAGGTATGGGGTAACGAAGATATGTGTGAGATGTTTCCATTTCATCCAGTTTTCCTTGCTCATCGGTCCACTGTCCTAAAAAAGGAGGAAGACAAAAACCTTGTTTCAGTGCTCTGAGAACACAGAGAAAAAGTATTAAAAGGAGATTCAATGGAACAAATTCTTTCAGGTCTCTAATGCCAACACTCGGGAGGCAGGGGCAGGCAGATCTCTGAGTTTGAGGCCAACCTGGTCTACAGATAGAGTTCCAGGACAGACAGAGATACACAGAGAAACCCTGTCTCAAAAAAACAAAACAAAACAAAAATCTAAAAATGTTGAGGATTAGGCCACTGAAAGCATATACATTGTGCTATTTTCAACATCCAAGAAGAGCTGCAACAGGCATGCTTAAAACAAATAAACTCTTGCTCTTCACCAGTTCCTGGAAAGTCTCTAAAAACAAGGTAGAAGCCTGCCACCTCTGCCAGGCAGTCTCTTTAACTTCATGCCTAAGTTTGTAGGTGCATCTATTAATAAGACTGTCAGTCTATTTAACCTATCTTAAGGTTGAAAGCACCTAAACCGAGTCACCTTGGATTCCAGGAACCACAAGGTCTTCCAGGCAGGACAGGTCATTTCCAAGGTTAGAAAAGTAGTTTGTGATCAAGATGATCTTGTAGACTACAGGTTGGTCCCCCACCACAGATAACTGTGATTAACAATTACCAATTTATGAGACCACTTTGCAGGACCCTGAACTGACATAATGATGGGCAGGAAAAACCTTGACAAGGACTGCTTGCTTTCTCTGCCTACCCTCAAAGGTTTTGTTTTGTTTTATTTGTTTGTTTTTTTGAGACATGGTTTCTCTGTTGCTTTGGAGCCTGTCCTGGAACTCCTTTTTTTTGTAGACCAGGCTGGTCTCTGACTCACATATATCTGCCTGTCTCTGCCTCCTGAGTGCTGGGATTAAAGGTGTGCACCACCACCAACTGGCAAGCTTTTTTTTTTTTAAGATTTATTTTCATTTTATGGGCATGGGTGTTTGACTGCAAGCATAGCTGGGAGCAATGTGCATGCAATACATACATAGACCAGAAGGGGGCACCAGACCTTCTGGAACTGGTGTTATTTGTTAGTGACCATGTAAGTCTTGGGATTCAAACCCAGAACCTCTGAAAGGTATCAAGTGCTCTTAACTGCTAAGCCATGTCACCAGTACCCCAATTCATCCTTTAATCAAACCTAAACTGACATAAATAATCAGAAGAAGAAATTGGAGGTTCTGGGACCCTTTATCACTTCCTTTTCCCATTGTGAACCAATGAAATCTCTGCTAGTCACTACTCCTGTCTCTGAGTTGACATACTGGGAAGGGTGGCTGAGCTGAGTCTCCTGGGGCTGCTGAAGTTGAGCTTCTATCCTAAAACTGTTCTAGAACTACAATACACTAAGTTACAGGGTAAAATGGAGGGGTGATGAATTTGTTCTTGGTGATTTGGGTCATGAGACTTCCAAACCGGAAAGGGGAATGCTAATTATACTCCCCACTACAATAATGCTGTAATCATAGTAAATGGTTATATTGCTCATAAGAAATGTTTAAACTTCAGCCAGGTTTCAAAAGTAAGAATTAAGAAAGCTGGCTCAGTAGTTAAGAACACTTGTTCTTTCAGAGGACCTGGGTTCCTGGGTTTGGTTCCCAGCACTCACATAATGGCTCACAACTATCTGTAACTCAAGTCCCAAACAATGAGACACCCTCATCTGACATCCATGGGCACTGCAAGCACATGGTACATAGACATGCATGCATGCCCATACACATAAAAAAATTAAAAATCAAGAAAAGCATGGGAGACAAAAGGATATTCATATAACATTCCAGTTTTTGAGCCCATTCTCTACCTCGTGTTCATCACACCACCACTGAAATACTCAACAGAGCTTTATAAACAAGCAGGAATTCAGAGAAGTTGACCAACTTACCCAATGCAAACAAGTAGGTAAGCAGAGATCTCAACCTGAGTTATAAACCTGGCTTCCGTTTGGGTTTTCTATAAGTGAAGGAACCAGCTTCCCTTTCAGCAGCCATAACAGCCGAACATGTGCTTCTATGACCTTGACCTAGTCACTAGAAAGTCAGATGCCTGTCTCGTGGCAAGGAACCAATCAGAAGTTAGCTGGTGGCGCTATGCTTTACGACCCTGGGTGTGCTTTACGGATTAGTGCACAGCAATGACGTAGAGAGCATAGCAACCACCCTGGGAGGGCCTATGAGCCATAACAACCAGTTGACCAATCAACACAGGGCAAGCCCTCCAAGCCTGGAGGCACACCAATCGTGAGCCTGTGCGTACCCCTAGACACTCCCCTTACGCTGCCCTATAAAGATCTGTACTCAGCGGCTTCAAACCGTCTTTTCTAGCCATCCGCCATGGCGGGTGGGTGAAAGACCCGAGCTAACATGAGGTTAGCTCGTTAAATTACAATAAAGCCTCGTGCAGTTTGCAGCAAGCTCTCAAATCCGCCTGGTGATTGGGGTGACTGCGAACGTGGCCTAGGACCCTGGATACTTGAGTTTTCGGGGGTCTAACATAAGAAGACGTGGCAAACTACCTGGAACTTGTGTCACTTGTGGTATGAGCAAGAGCAGAACTTAGAGCTGAACAATCCATGGTCTCCTCTCCTCCCTTCTTCCTTTCCTTGTTTTCCTCCTCCCTTTGTTTCCCTCACTCCTTTCAGTCCCCTTCTTTCCTCTCTCCTCTCATTTTGAAATTCAATAGGCCACCTGTTTTTGTCCAAGGAAGCTCTCTATTTGACTGAACACACAGGTAGATAAACAAAAAACAAGGCAGGGAGTGGCTTGACTGCGAACAAGCATACTCACCAGAAGCACAGTGCCTAGTCAATGGACTTCAGCTTAACCACGCAAAGCAGGCGATAAAATTCAAAGGAACTCCCTAGAGGACTAAGTGGTAAATCTCAGAAAACCAGAGGGACAAAACACAGCAGAGGCTTTTCAGAGCCCCAGACCTGAAAGGAAGAGACCAACAGCTCACATTTATAATGTGTGACATTAGCGTTCAGGTCTCTTGAATTCAATGTTAACCAAACTCCTGCTGCAGACCAGGCTCTACAGGAGGTGGGCACCTGAGACCCAAGACCCACAAACTTCTACTGTCAGAAGAAATCAGAAAGAAGAAAGCAGCAAGAAAGGAGTGCTTATCAAGTGATGGGGCTGGAGAGATGGCTCAGCAGTTAAGAGCACTGGCTGCTATTCCAGAGGTCCTGAGTTCAATTCCCAGCAACCACATGGTGACTCACAAACATCTGTGGTGGGACTGATGCCCTCTCCTGACATAAAGTCGATAGAACACTCAAATACATAAAATAAACATTTTTTTTTTTAAAAATCAACTGACATATAGTTGACATCCCATAGAATAATAGAATTTAAAAAATGAATCTTTGTTAATACCATAAACTTTGAGGTAAGAGAGGATATTTGTTTGAACCTCCAAGAGGCAGCACATCTAGTCTTCTACCAAAAATGCCAGTTTTCAGGAGAATATGAGACTTCCATGACGCTATACTGTTAGTCATGGGTCTTGTGAGCCAACACTTGTGTCAGTTTAAATATTCAGATTCATTTTGTATGAAAAACCAAGTGAAAAATCATAATCTTAGTTCTTTTTTTTTAAAGATTTATTTATTTATTATGTATGCAGTATTCTGTCTGCATGTATGCCTCCAGACCAGAAGAGGGCACCAGATATCATTATGGATGGTTGTGAGCCAACATGTGGTTGCTGGGAATTGAACTCAGGACCTCTGGAAGAGCAGTCAGTGCTCTTAACCTCTGAGTTATCTCTCTAGCCCGTAATCTTAGTTCTTATGCTACATTTTTGCCTGCATGTGTGTGGTGCCAGCAGAGGTCAGAGAGGGGTCAGATTCCCTAGAACTGGAGTTAAAGGTGTTTTTGATTGCCATGTGGGTATTGTGAAGTTAACCCAGGTCCTCCGTAAAAGCCAACACGTGCTTTTAACTGGAGAACCACAGAAGGGTTTTCATATAGCCTAGCCTGGTCTGAAATCTCCCATGCAGCAGAAGATGACCTTGAACTCCTAATTCTTCTGCCTATAACTCCTAAGTGGGATCACATCATATACCACTACAGCTCGTTAGTCCTATGCTCCTCATCTTCTTTTTGTTTTCTTTTGTGTTTTAAGACAGGGTTCCTCTGTATAGTCCTGGCTGACTTTGAACTCAGAGATCAGCCTGCCTCTGCCTCCCAAGTGCTGGGACTAAAGGCGTGCACCACCACTGCCCAGCTATACTCTTTATTTCTCCAGACTTTCTTTCTTTGGATAGTTGTCACTTATTCAGCTTTCCATTTGCCATGCCTCCAAGAAGTCTTTTCTTGGGTTCCAGGCATAAGGTGTCCTTTGGACTTCCAGAGCATGGCTACCTTCCTGTGTCATAATTCACCTGCTCACTTATCAGTATCCTTTGTTAGGTTTTGAGCAGGAACAATGTCCACCTTATTTATCATCAGTATCTAGCACAATGCAGTCTGTAGTAGTAAATAAATGAATGGAATAATCTGTCTTCTGGGATGACGTATGATTGGGTTTTTATTGTTTGCTTGGAAATTTTTGGTTTCTTTTGAGCCAGGGACATTATGTAGCTCAAGCTTGCCTTCCCGCCTCAGCCTCTTGGGTGCTAGGATTATAGGATTTGCCTCCTCTCAAAGTGGCACTTAAAATTTTAAATCACATTTATTTATTTGTGTGGATGTGCTGTACCCATAGATATATGGGTACAGAAGAGAAGACAACTTGTGGAAGCTCATTCTTTTCCATCACATGAGTCCCAGGTATTGAACTCGTGTCAATAGCAAGTGCCTTTCTTTACCTGCTGAGCCATCTTGTTGGTCATCAAAGTGGCATTTTTTTTTTTTGGTCTTTCAAGACAGAGTTTCTCTATGTAGTTTTGGAGCCTATCTTGGCACTCGCTCTGGAGACCAGGCTGGCCTCGAACTCACAGAGATCTGCCTGCTTCTGCCTCCCGAGTACTGGGATTAAAGGCATGCGGCACCAACGCCCAGCTCAAAGTGGCCTTGTAAATGAGGCAATATTTAGTTGGCTCTAGGACTCACAAACGGTCTCTATAGGCCCAAATGCACACAGTTGCTTTAATTACACTGACTGAGGGCTACTTCGGTATATCTCACAATAGCAGAAACTGCTTTTGTTGGTGACAGAGTTCAAAATCATAATTTTAGAAAACATAATGATGCCAGCAATACATAGAAGTAATAAAACTCAAGGTAAGTAAACAGGTAGAATATATCTACATTTGAATGTTCCATTTGCAGAACTGGGCATGTTGGGTTTTTGTTTGGTGTTCTTGATTTTCCTCCATGGTTCTAGTAGGTCTTACTATAGGCTTTCTGTGTAATTACCTCCTAGGCAATCCATTTCATCACAAGAAAATCCAACAGTATGTGCTTTTATTTATTAATAAACAACTCTGACAGTAGAAAGACAAAACACAGAGACCTGAATGCTAATGTCACACATTATAAATGTGAGCTGTTGGTCTCTTCCTTTGAGGTCTGGGGCTCTGAATAGCCTCAGCTGTGCTTTTGTCCCTCTGATTTTCTTAGATTTACCATTAGTCCTCTAGGGAGTTCCTCTTTTTATTTTTACTGATCTATTTATTTTGAGACAGTCTCACTACATAGCCCTGGCTGTCCCGAAACTCACATAGATTCACCCGAAGGTGCCGGGCTGAAGGTGTGAGCCACAATGCCTAGCAAGAGTTTTTACCTTAATATGCAATCACTCACCTAACAAGTCCAAAAGACTTTTCTCCTTTTTTCTTGCCACTTCTCCCTGAACTTCACACAGCATACACTCAACATTCATTACTGCTTCAATGAGGTCAGCCTGGGCACCTCTAATCTCTAGCATTGCTTTCAGGGGACTGACAGTCTCTGAAATGGAGACACCTGAGGCTGTCTGGAGCTGAGACAGCTTGTCATGCTCATTCTTGCCAAGGTAGAGAATGTGATTATTCTCGATGATGTGGTGTTCCTCAGAAGTCAGCAACCTTTCAATCCACTCTTTGGCCTCACACATCTCTTCCGAGTTTACACCCATCAGATTGATGGCAGGGGATCCGGCTTCAAGTCCACCTCTTTGCTCCCCTCTGGTCCACTGGGGGACTGAAAGAACTATCAAAAACAGATATAGAAGGCTGGTGGGTTTTCAATAGTACAGAATATCACTGGCACCATTTGCCCCCAGGATATTACCATCACTGTCAGCAACAGCAGCTAAGACCTATCCATAAAAACTACACTGGGTATAAAGGGAATCTACAGGCACAGCTTATGGCCTCCTTATAAACATATCAGCTAGCTTACAAGATGATGGATCTATTATCTCCACCCTCTGCTCTGTGTGATTTGTGAATTCAAAAGTAAGTTTACCTATTCTCACCAGCTAAGGGACAAATCCTTAGCCTCTTGCACCTACCAGACTTAAAATCAGACACCAAAAGCTACAGAATTCAAGGAATACAATATGTTTTGTAAAAAACAGTGGGCCGGTGGTGGCACATGCTTTTAATCCCAGAACTAAGGAGATAGAAACAGGCAGATCTCTGTGAATTCAAGGCCAGCCTGGTCTACAGAGTGAGTTCCAAGACAGCCTCCAAAGCTACACAGAGAAACCCCATCTCAAAAAACCAAAGAAAGATAAAAGAAAAGGGTAGCAATGTGCTGGAAAGATGGTTCAGCAGTTAAGAGCACTGGCTGCTCTTCCAGAGGCCCTGGGTTCAATTCCCAGCACCCTCATGGCAGCTCACAAGTTATTGTCTGTACATCCAGTTCCCTCACACAGGCACACATGCAGGCAAAACACCAATGCACACACAAAAAGAAAAAAAAAGAAAAAGAAAGGAAGGAAGGCAGGAAGGCAGGAAGGAAGGAAGGAAGGAAAGAAAAGAAAAGTAGCGGGTTGGAGAGATGGCTCAGAGGTTAAGAGCACTGACTGTTCTTCCAGAGGTCCTGAGTTCGATTCCCAGCAAACACATGGTGGCTCACAACCATCTGTAATGAGATCTGGTACCGTTTTCTGGTGTGCAAGCATGCGTGTGGTAATTGTATACATAATAAATAAATAAAATCTTAAAAAAGAAAGAAAGAAAAGTAGCAAAACAGTAGCCAGTTAGGCAAACAATTTCACTGGAAAGCAAATATTATAGCTTATATCAATCAGAGACATGCACCATCACCCACCAGTTAAGCAGGAACTTGGAAGTTTAACAATATCAAGTGTTGAGAAATCTATTGAGCAAATAGAACTCCTAAATATCTATTATACAAAAATGGAACAATCCGGTCATTGGTAGTACATGCCTTTAATCCCCGCACTCGGGAGGCAGAGGCAGGCAGATATCTGTGAGTTGGAGGTCAGCCTGGACTACAGAGCAAGTGCCAGGATAGACTCCAAAGCTACACAAAGCAACCCTGTCCCCCAGCATGGAACTGATCCAGGCCCCATAAATGTGGGTCGGAAATATCTGGGGCCTCTTCTAGTAGATTAGTACTTATCCCTAGCGTAGGAATGGACTTTGGGATCCCATTTCACACAGAGGGATACTCCCTCAGCCTACACACACTGGGGAGGGCCTAGGCCCTATCCCAAAGCATATGACAGACTCTGAAAGACCCCCCACAATGGAAGGCAGAAATGGTATTAGATAGGTAGGGTATTAGTGGGGGTACAGGAGATGAGGGGAGGGAGAGGGAATGGGGACTGACATGTAAAACAATCTTGTTTCTAATTTAAATAAAAAAATTTAAAAATGCACTTGGGGCTAAATAAATGTTCCATGGGGGGGGGGCGGAGACACCAGGTACTCAATATCATCTTTCTGCTGACATCATAGCTGGGTAGAACTCTGGAAAGTGTTAGGACAGTAGGGAGCAGCTAGGGAGCCGAGCCAATGTTGAAGACAACAGAAGTGAAAAGGGAATTTTAATGGAGGCATACTTTTTGCTGTTTTAAATACTTTTTGGGAATTTACATTACTTTCTGGAAGGGCACAGAAACAACACATAGTGGTTCTTCCTTAATCAATCACTCTTAGGAGAAAAGAATTACTCCCAATAACTGAATTGTTCAAATCACTAAGGGTAACTTTTCTAAGAACTAAAATGCATTCAATTAACTATTTACTATATAAATATTCCTAATGAAAACATGTTTCTCTTCATCTCTGGCTAGCTTAACCTTTCCTTGATAATCTAAGACAATCTGCATCAAACATTCTGAATGGCAATTATTTTCCTATGACTTCTAATTTCTTTACAGATATTTTCCAGAACTACTGAATAAATCATCCTTGTCTCTGCACTTCAGTTTAATGACATATAGAACTTTATATTCCCTTTTTGCATTAGCTTGACCTAAAACTTCATCCCTTACTTGTTCCTCTGTATTGCACGTGACTTCCCAAACATGTGGTGTATTGTTTGCTCCTATTGCTTTATTCATCTCAAGTGCTGCCCCTCCACTGCTGGCTGATGGAAATCTTTCCATCCCAAAGCTCACCTTAGAAACATCCTTGTCCAGAAAGCCATTCTTGTTCCCTCCCCAGTCTGAAGGAATATTTCCCTCTTCTACTCTACCCCTTCTTATTTGCCTCCTGGAACTGTTTTAATGCTTTGTAATTTTAATCAATAAAACATCCTTTGATAATTGGAAATTATCAAAATATTGTCTGTTATTTATTTAAATTACAATTCATGATTGCTCTCTCTCTCTCTGTCTTTCTTTTTCTCTCTCTCTCTCTCTCTCTCTCTCTCTGTGTGTGTGTGTGTGTATAAGCACATATCACATGTACTATGGTATACATCTGGAGGTCAAAGGACTATTTGGGAGAGTCACTTTGCTCTTCCTATCATGTTGGTTCCCGGAGGTGAACTCTGGTCATCAGGCTTGGCAGCAGATGTTCTTACCTGTTAGCCATTTCACTGGCCCATAGTCACCTACCGTTATCCTCACTTTACAGACAAATAAATAAAGGCTCCTAAGAAGTACCAACCCTATACTCTTAACAGAGCTACCCTTCTGTACTTCCAGCACTAATGAACCATTAAACATTCCACCACTGCCCACTCACATTCCAGTCTGAGACAAAACTAATGTCACTAGCACACAACATCCAAGATTGGTTTAATCCATCAATCCCATGAACCTCAAACCTAGCTCAGCTGTGAAATCAACTAAACAGCTTTTAAAGAGACCTGCTTGACCTAGACCAGAGCTCCTGAATCAGAACCTATAATCAGAATCTGTGAGCAGGCACCCCACTTTTCTTTCATGTAGCCCTGGATGGCCTAAAACTTGCTATCTAAATAGAGTATGACCTGAACTCTTGATTGTTCTGCCCCCATCCAGGTACCACAATGCCTGTAGGACTCTTGATTTCTTACTCACCACTGTTACTGCTGAGACTCAACTCATTGGACCTCTTCGTCATTTCAGCACAAAAAGCCTAAAATAAGCAAAGCACAGCAGTCATAACAGGGAGGGCAAGTGTTGTAATCAAAATCTCTGCCTGCATACACCACACCACTCTCTCCTTAGGCTCCATTCCCACTACCACAAGTCCTTAGGCCACAAGCCGGCTTTAGACAATCCAAGAGAGCATGAGCAGCACGATGAACTATACTAGTGCAGTGGTTCTCAACCTGTGGGTGGAAACTCCTTTGGGGTCAAATATCAGATATCCTAAATATCAGATATTTACATTATGAGTCATAACAGTAGCAAAACTATAGTTGTGAAGTAACAATGAAATAATTTTATGGCTGGGGTCACCATAATACACAAGGAACTGTATGTTAAAGGGTTATAGAATCACTGTATTAGAACATCTGAGAAATGAATACAGGTAAATTACAAGAAAAACACAACCTGATAGAATTTAGGCAAAGTATAAGGATTCATTTATTCAATAGGTATTAATGTAGGTACTGCATTAAAGCTCAAATAAAAATATAGATCACTTCTAAATGTTATGAGCATATCAAACTGTTTTATATGGGTTAATTATTGTAAAATATTTAAAATTGGATCTGATTCATAATGAATATTCAATATATGTTAGATAAGGTAATTATTGTTACACAATAGTCTACAGAAAAAAGTCACTATTTCCAGGCACATCCTTTAAGAGAGAGTCTACTTGAAATAAATGAAATGTCTTAGGTGTTTGGACACACCTCATCCAATACCTTTCTTGTTCAAAGCTGATACAATGGGCAATAATTACTTTATTGAAAAATGTTAATATTGATAAGATAAAGACTACAAGACTAGATTTTGCTTTATCTTTATCTGTACTTCAAAAGAAGTGTGTGATGTACTTCAAAAATGAAGTGTGTGAGTGTGTGTGTGACAGTGTATGTGTGTGTGTATGTATTTGGGCAGATTCTCACTGCCTCCCTTTGTATCCCTGAATATCCTATATCTCATTATGTAAACCACACAGGCCTCAAACTCAGAGATCCTTGTTCTTTGTGAGGTTTTTTTGGGGGGGGGGCGTGGAGACAGGGTTTCTCTGTGTAGCCCTGGCTTTCCTGGATCAGCTCTTTGTGTAGACCAGTTGGGCTCAAACTCATTCAGAGATCTACATGCCTCTGCCTCCTAAGTGCTGAGATTACAGGCATATACCAAGAGACCCAACTCAGCAAGGAATTTTCTTAGTCTACAAAACATTTCCTTTATAAACTGTATTTTCAGCTTCTATTTCCAGGGGGAGAATTCCCTTTATCTAACCATATTTATTTCCTTGGAAATAAAGCAAATGAGCTAACATTTTCCAATGATAGACTCTAAGAGAGGCCATATATAACGGATAAAAGTCAGTTCTCTGGTAGGTCATTTTAGAAGTAGGAGATGTTGCAGGGTTAGGTAAAAATGTTAACTGAAATGTGATGAAAAACTGAGAGGTGGAACCAAAGGCCAAGTGTGGCAGTGTTCTTCCAGCTCCGTCCGATAGGGATGAACACTTGATCTGGGAGAGGCCAAAAGCATGCTTTGGAAAGCTGTTCCTTACTCTGAGACAAAAGCCTGGTTTAGGATAATAATAAGTAAGAAATATTTGCTAATAACTATCTATTGCCTTCTATAGATACCCATCTGTATACAGGACAAAATCCATCACAAAATACCCCAAAGGCAGGGGAGAAAGTATGACCCCCACACCAAAAGTAGATTGCTGACCTTTAAGGAGAAGAGAGAATAAATGCAACAGGAAAAGAAGAAAGCAAAGTAGCTTGAACTTGCTTTTGAAAATGACCTTTGCTCATGGTGACCTTTGGTCAAGGGTGGGTAATTTGCAGAAATTAAATTAAATCGTGGGATCCTAACCCATCACCTTAGACTAGAGATATTAGTTAGACATTGGTGATGAATCAAGGAACTCTTAAGACATTTCCAAGATGCTAACTCACCCTTTATGTCTCCACATCCACTGGAAAGATCACAATCCTAACAGTCAGGGTTTTCTTCATGTGCGTCTTGAAAAATGCTAAAATTTCATCTACCATTATCCTGGCTGCTGTACTCTTCTCTATCTCAATGGGTCCTGTCCCAAGGGTAGGAAAAAAAACGGAATTTATATCTGGTTGCAGGTAATTTTCCAGACAGGTCTTCACCGCATCTTTCAATATCTGTAAGATAAATACAAATTCAAGATCAACCTCAGAGTAGAAAATAAGAAATGGAGGCAACTGAATGTTACCCAGTGTACTTGAGCACTGCTCTCTCCCAGTTATGTAGCATTGACTGTCCCCCTAGCTCAGGGAGCCAGGCATCAGTGTGCCACTGACCTGCCACTCCCAAATCAACCAAGAGTCCCTGACTTTAAAGGAGATGGAGACTAAAAAATGAGGCAAACAGTGTTCCTTCAACATGACAAAGACTACTGTGTACCTTCTCCTGGAGTCGTGCCAATAGTTTTAACAGACTTAAACTTCCATCAACTTTTCTTTTTCTTTCTTTTTTTTTTTCAAGGAAAAAGTTTTAATATGCACCCTGGCTAGCCTGAAACTCACCGTGTAGAGTACGTGGCCTCAACTCAGAGCTCTGCCTTCATCTGCCTCCCAAGAGTTGAGATTAAAAACAAAAAAAGGAGTGGGCCACCAATCCAGGCTAACCCTCTATCAACTTTTCAGTATTATAAGAAAAAATAGGAAAAAACACACACACACACACACACACACACACACACACACACACACACACACACACACACACTCATGTTAGCTATGATGGCTTATAATGCTGGCACTCAGGAGGCAGATACAATTCGCCTATATCTGGCACCCATCTTTCGGAACACAAATTCACAAAAAGCCGCTTGCCTGTGGCTGTGCAGCTACAGGCACAGGCGGAAGCTGCACGAGGCCCCGTCACTACCCCACCAGCTAAGTTTTTCCTTTCTCTTCCTTAAGCCTCTGAGCCAGTTGGGATTTTTCTGTTGCAGCCTATTTATCTATCTGCAGAAAACTCCATAGGCTTTTAGTCTCCATTAGCCACAGGAGTTAACCGAGTTCTTAGATTCCCCCAAGGAAGACAACTGGCTCTTTGGCTTCTTTTCTCCCAGTGGGTTGTGGGATTTCCCTGGACCCCTCCTTGGGCTGCTACCACACTTCACCATCATCTGAATCATCATCATTGGCAGATTTAGCAGGACAACTGAAATCCTTAAAGGGAGGAATTAGTTAAAAGAGTGCTGGCTGCCACATTAAAAAGTTGGAAACATGCGGGACAGTGGGGGGGGGGGCGCCAGCACTCGGAAGGCAGAGGCAGACCCCCATGTCAAATTCCGTTCAGTTCTTTCCTATCATTGAGGAGGAAAATCCCTCCCAGATCAATTACAGAACCTAATGCCTATTGTAAGAACGCCTATTGCTCTGGATGATAGCAAAGCTATAGAAGAAAGAACAAAAATTCAGGAGAAAACATAAAGCAAGTATTTTGGCAAACTTCTATACACGAACAAGACCAAAATTTAAAAATGTCATTGATTGATGTGGAGCAGAAAGTGGTTGAGGGGCGGGAGGACATGGGACGGGGAATGGGAGGACTGCGATTGATGTGTAAAAGAAGCTTGTTTCCAATTTTAAATTGGTCTAATTACAATTATTAAAATTTTTCCTAAAAACCTACTCGACATAAATGATTGAAACAAAAAAAAATATATCATTGAAGGTCTAGTAGACACAGGTGTTGATGTAACAATAATTGCACCAGAATCTTGCCATCCAAACTGGCTTCTTCAAGAAATAAAAGTTCCCTGGGCGTTGGTGGCGCACGCCTTTAATCCCAGCACTCAGGAGGCAGAGGCAGGTGGATCTCTGTGAGTTCGAGACCAGCATTGTCTTCAGAGTGAGTGCCAGGATAGACTCCAAAGGTACACAGAGGCTCCAAAGCTACACAGAGAAGCCCTGTCTCGAGAAAAAGAAAAAAGAAAAAAAAAAAAGAAATAAAAGTTCATCCATTATAGACTGGCACACACCTTTAATCCCAGCTCTTGGGAAGTAGAGGCAGGTAGGTTTCTATGAGTTCAGTTATGTAGAGAAAGACACTATCTCAACAACAACAAAAGAGACAACCAAAGGCACACGAAATTAAACATCTCTCTACCTCTGAATGGACTCCCTCTATTCTCTTATTTTTGTGTCTTATGGGAGGAGTTGGCTGAGAGTCAATATTCATTACAGGCATAGCTGGAATAGATGGGCAATAGATTTGACTGGAATGGTATGGAATCCAATCTCTGCTGAAATTTAACCTGTGAAAGGAAGTATGGAAAGGCTGAATCCCATCTCACTATAGAAAGCACAGGCCATTGTGTATTGTGGAGCAAACCTGGCATTCAGATGGAAGGGTTCTGTTGTTTCAGTGTCCATGTGCAGTGTGTACACTTAGACATTTCAAATCAAACTTAAGAGAACTTGGAGCAACCACATTTGCTCAGCCTTTCAGTCAGGCACAGGTGTGCTTTCTGACAGGGATATACCACCTGACAATATTTTATAGACAAAATAAAACAATGGAAACTTAACAAACTGCTTAGACTGGGCACGTATACAAACATGAACTTATCTGTTTTTTTTTTTTTTTCAAATTTCCATGCCACATGGAACACATACTGACAGGACAATTTAAATCCTTTTGTGACCAGTACCATCTGGTAATCTGAAGACAGATTAACCTTGTCAAGTTCCCTTTCCATTTGAAGCCCTGCTTGTTTAACAATTGACTGTGACACACGTCCACTTTTAAAATTGTGTATGAATCCAGAATTAACAATGACATCTGTCTGAAAAGGGAAGAAAACAAAGGATTCAGTGTTAAATCCCTACTTCTTAAATGACTAATTTGTACTTCCCATTATTTTTTCAATGTCCCAAATCCACAAAATCGATTCACAATAGAGACTGAGTTTCTAGAGAATTCATTTCATTACCATGAAGCTGTTTGTCCTATTTTGAAGTTATGTGCATATATGGATGATGCTGTTATTGCATTCACCTTTTAGTGAATTATACTTCCTTAATTTCAAGCTTCTGATCGTTCCTTCTGGCTTCGTTTGTTTTAAAGACTTTATTTTCTTTTCTGTTTTTTTGTTTTGTTTTGTTTTGTTTTCCTGAGACAGGGTTTTTCTGTAGCTCTTACAGAGGACTTGGGTTCAATTCCCAGCTAGCACATGGCAGCTTGCAAATGTCAGTAACCCACCCCTAGAGGATCCAAAGACCTCTTCTCACTCCCAAAGTCACCACGCATGCATTTGGTTCCAGACACACATGCAAAACACTTATACCAGTAAAATAATAAAATAAAATAAAATTTTCACTTGTGTGTCTGTCTCTGTGTGGGTTTGTACACATGAGTATAGTACCTACAAAATCACAAACAAAATATGACATTCTCTGGAGCTGGAGTCACAGAGAGCTGTGAGCTGCCTGATTCAGGAGGTGGGTAGAGAACAAAGATCCTGTACTAGATAACAGTCACACTCTTAATAGCTGAGTCTTCTCCCAGCCTCCTTTGTAGCCTGATTGTTTTTGTTTTGGGGACAGAGTCTCACCATGCAACAGTGGCCTGTAGCTCACTGTATAGACCAGGTTGACCTCAAGTTCACAGAGATCCATCTGTCTCGACTTCTTCAGTGCTGGGTTTAAAGGCAAGCACCACACACCTTGTTTTGTTTTGAGACTGTGTCTCCTGTAGCCTGACGGACCCAAGACTTCCCACATAGCTGATGATGACCTTAAATTCCTGATCCTCTTGCACCTAACTCCCAGTGTTGGGATTATATGGTTCTGGATTGTAGGGATTGAACCCAAGGATTTGGGCTGCTAGGCAAGTACTGTAGCAAGTAAACTACATCCTCCTGGCCTTTTATCTTTTTACCGGACTGCCTGCCTACTTTGTTTTATTTTTTGTCTTATTTATTTATTTATTTATGTTTTTTTTTTTTGAGACCAGGCCTCACTATGTATTCCTGATAAACCTTGAACCATCTCTTAATCTCTCCAGTGCTAAAATTACCAGCAAACACTCGATACCACACCCAGTTGTGTTGTTTTCCCCAGTGCTAAGGATTGAACCCAGGTAGAATGCTAAGCAAACATTCTACCACTGAGCCAAATACCTAGCCCATGGTGATTTTTTGAGAAAAATCCTCACAGGTTTCCTTCTCTGCCTTACCTGGGTCTCTTCCTGCTATTTCTATGTATGTTGTTTTGTAACAAAGAATAAAGTTTCTTGGGAACTCTGCCATCTCAAGTCTTAATGATCTCATGTACAAGGCTCAAGAAAATGTAAATGAGACCAAAAGGTCTTTGGCAAAAAGTAGCTTTCTTTCTTCATGGGGTCACCAGATACACTCATCCACCCACTCTCAGGCAACCACTTTAACCAGTTCATCTACAGCAGCAGCAGTTCTCAACCTGTGGGTCTGGACCCTTTTGGGGGCCAAACGACCCTTTCACAGGGTTGCTAAGACCGTGAAAAAACACAAATCTTGTATCTTATAACTTTGAGAACAGTGTTAAAGGCAGTTGTGTTCTTGCTACTTCAGTGTCCAAATTCTTATCCTAATGACTCTGGCTCCATCGAAGGAAGCTTACTCATACTTCTATGGATTTTGTTTGTTTGGAGACAGGGTGTCTCTATGTAGTCTTGGCTGGCCTGCAACTTGATTTGGATCAAATCCTCTGTCTCTGTCTGGGGTGTTGGGAATCCAGGCATGTGCCAAAGTGCTCCGTTTATCAGGAACATTAATGATTTTAACCTGAAAAGGCAATTTGAATTTGCCATTGGGGAGCACTGGCACCCTTCAGAAAATGTAAGGTTCCTAATGCTGCTGACAACAAATAAATACAGTAAAATTTGCTAATAATGCTGCTATGCTTTGATTTTAAACTGCTACACTAATGACTCCTCAGATACTTCATTTCATAGTCTCCTCCATCTTCACTCTGATCCACTTGTAGGTAGGAAGCGCCATTCTCACCAACAAACAGTTAATTATAATTTGTCTGTGGCCACAGGACACATCGCTGATCCAAAAAACAATAATAAAGATATGACTTTAATCTTGAGTCTGTCCAAACTCCCTGTCTCCTGTCTGTGGATTCCCCTGTCTGTCTGACGATCACTTCAGCCTCACTGAAAGCCTTCCCGCATGGCAGTTCACACCTGCTGCAACCTGAGATCAGCTTCTGTTTTTCCCAGTTCAGCGATCCAACTCATTCTGAACCTACCACAGAGCACCCAGGCTCTGGTTTCCGTTAGAGGGGTCTCAGTTAGGGCTTTACTCTCTGCCCTACCACCATCACTTTTTGCTACTTTTGTATCTATGTTGCTCTAATCACAAATTTACATCCTTTTGGGTTTTTTTTTGTTTGTTTGTTTTTTCCCAGATTTTTGAAGCAGGGTCTCGTGTAGCCAAAAGCTGGATTCTTCAAACTCAGGGATCCATGGACGAACTTGAGTCCCTGATCATTGGGTTCCACCTCCCCACTACTGTGATTGCAAGGGTGGACCACCATCCCCAGCAATGCCTAAATACTACTTTCTTTACTATTACAGCTGCAGAAAAGTTGAGTGGTTTATTTTCCCAATGAGATATTTCCAAATAAAGGATTTTTTTTTAAAGATTAATATTAGGATAGAACTACAGAGATGACTCAGTGAAGTGCTTGTGAGAAACTCTGTAAAAAGGCCAGGTGTGGTAAGAGGCACTCACAACCCCAACAAGCCAGAGAAGGCCAAGACAAGATGTTCCCTGGGGCTCGCTGGCCAGTTAGCTCAGTTCACCTGACAAGTTCCACAAGACACTCTGCCTCAAAAAAGAAGGGTAGACAATACTTTTAGAAAGACAACCAAGGCTGACCTTTGGCCCCTACACACCTATGAACAGTTGTGCAACCCTCCCCCCACACCCAACGACACACACAAATCCACACCTGTCAACACACAGACTAAATTCATTCACTGATTCATTAATTTTAGGGCTCAGCTGGGTTATGGTAGCTTTAATCCCAGCACTCGGGAGCTAGAGGCATGTGGATCTCTGTAAGTTTAAGACCAGCCTGGAATACAAAGCGAGTTCCAGGACAGCCAAGGCTATATAGGAATATAAAATAAAAATTTAGTGCTTGAAGCTAAGGCAAGAGGACCATGCTTCAAACCCCTGCTTCAAAAACAACAAAGAAATAAGAGGAAGCTTAAATTCTTTGGGGTCAAAGAGTATTCTAAGTCCTTATTGTTCCTAAGAATCATAGCCTAATTTTAGCTGCCATATTAACTATGTGCCACAAACGATTAGAAGAATTTCTTGGGTGCTGATTCCAGCTTTCAGATGTCAAGGGCTGTCGTTATGTTTTACAGAGGAAGGACTGAAGACTGCAAAAAAGAAATTAGTTGAGTTAGGAACTAAAAAAGTTGATCTCCAACCAACACAGATGGCCTAACTCCAAAGTACACATTCTTAACCCCAAAAAGATACATTCTGTTATCTTCCAGTTTAACCATCTTCATAATTAACAATTAATTCAGGGCTGGAAAGATGACTCAGCTGTTAAGAGCACTGGATGCTCTTCCATAGATCCTGAGTTCAGTTCCCAGCAACCATCTACAGAGGCATCTGATACCCTATTCTGGTATGTAGGCTTACGTGTAGACAGAGCACTCATACATAAAATAGATAGATAGATGGATAGATAGATAGATAGATAGATAGATAGACAGATAGATAGATAGATTTAAAAATTGAAAACAATTAATTCCAGGGTTCCCCTCTATCAGTGCCAGAGCATAAAAGCAGACTTACTGTTTGCAGTTCAATACAGCCTTGGACAATCTGGAGAGTCTGGCCCTGGCCAATTTGAAGCATCACATTGGAAGAAGGGGTAGTTCCTGGACTGATGGGGCTCAGCTCCATCTTCCCCAGGATGTTTTCCGCTGCATCTTTAAAGGATGCAACAGTGTGGTCCTCATTGCTCACCAGATGAATCTCTTTCAAATAATTGATGGGTTGCTTCTCTTGAAAATAAAGCAAGATAGTTTCTAAAATTGTGTGTGTGTACACAAATCCAGAGGAAATTGGAAAATTCCAGAGCTCAGGGCTGGAATTGCTACCGTCTTAATGTGTGTATTTCATATGCAGACATAGTCTAGGGTGTTCTTAATGGCAGGTCTCAGAAGGGAAATAGATGTCTGGCTGCCTGTCCACCGAGGCCCGACAGCATGGATAATCCAGTTGCAAGGAAGCCTCCCTGCTGTTGTGATAGCTATTTGACCAGTTGGAACTTTCCCATAGGTGGCAATGAATATTCTGCTTTCTTCTTGGATTTCAAAGCCACCAGCTTTCACCAGGCTTCCAGCCAAGCCACCTCCATGCCAAAGTTCTTCATTGGCTGCATTCACCACAGCATCAACAACATGTCTGGTGAGGTCATCCTTCCAGACAGATAACTCTATCCAAGGGGTCAGCATCCTTCTGAAGACCTGCTGAGCAGGAGGAGCGCTGTTTCCTGCTACACTCAGACAGCTCAGGGTAGAGACACACCCAAACTTATTCTGGAGGACTTTACACAGCTGACCCTCACTGGATTTTAAAATTTCGAAGACATTGTGTTTAATGGGAATTTGCCATCTGTTGTGTTCTGCAAAAGCACTGCTGGCTGGAAAAGGAGAAAAAAGCAATGAAGAACGGTTCCTTTGAAAAGGACATGATTCCTTTCCTCACTATGAGATTGAGTTTCTTACTTCTAAAGAGAGATGACCTTCCACGCCCCTCTTACAGACTCTGCTTTTCACCCACACAAGGAATTAGGCCAAGGACATCTAAGGGTCTTCATTGCCAACTCAGTTGAAAGGGCTCAGTCTTGTATTGACATTTAGTTAGCACTCTCTAAGTGAGAAAACCTTGTATCAGGGGTAAGCATGTCTTGAATGTATGCAAAAATTGTGAGTTTGGGAAGACTCATGCCATGCACACACACACGAAAATGACTTAATTGTGAATCAAAAATATAGGGAAGCTGTATTCATAACTTCACTTTTTTTTAGTGTCTCAGTTTACGTTTGCTTAGAAGAAAGTTCTGAGGTAAGACTTTAGAGTGGAAGTAGTGTAAAACACCGGGGCTTCCTGTTCAGGAGAGAAGGTAAGAAACTAAGACAGGGAAACAAGAACAAAAAAGGATAATGTGTGTGTTAGTTAGCAAATGAAGCTTAACCCTACTACAGGGCAGAGCAGATCAGCTAACTCAGTTACAGCCCTAGAGAGGTCATTGCAGGAGCTATGTATCTCAAAGCTGTCCTGAAGGGAGATGGGCAACACAGGACCAGCCAACAGGTAGGTCAGCAACCTCTGCCTCATGGCACCTACTCCAGTCCTCACAGTCACAATCAACAAACAATCAAGCAACCAAAAAAATTATTTACTCTTTGATGCATGCCTTTCCTTAATCCCAGCACTGGGGAGGCAGAGGCAAGCAGATCTCTGTGAGTTCAAGACCAGCTCAGTCTACACAATGAGTTCCAGATCAGTCAGAGCTACATAGTGAGACCCCATCTTTAAAAATAAAAAATCACATATTTCAGCATATTTCACACTAAAAGTTATAGCATATTTCACGCTAAAAGATGTTATTAACATCCTTCTTAATTTGTTTACACAGGGACAATCTAGTTGGTTCACAGACTCCAGCTACTAGCTACTAAAGCTCACCTGAGCACCAGTTACAGTTCTCAGGACAACCCCCTGAGCATCAAAGGTCAAGCAATGCCACTTATACTGGGGGCATCTCTAACAAATACCTCACGATGCTAGAGACTTCAGTTTGGTGGTGGGTTATCACTATAATTTTGGTGGTGGTGGTGGTAATACAAGGCCTTGCTCTATAAATCCTCCTGCCTCTGTCTCCTAAACCTTGGAATTACCACCACAACCACCTAGCACAGATCTTCATCCTCACTCTACCTCAAAATCTAGTTTCTGGACAACACGACCTATGGAATGATAATGTGTTTTTCTGAAAATCCACTTTGCCTTCAGAAACTGAGCTTTCGTCAGACCTTGCAACCAAGTTAATAATATACCTAGAAAGCACTTAAAATTATGTACTCAATCTGTTTTCCTACTATATATACAGCATTCTTAATTTGGCTTTAAGAAAACAAGGTAGGGATGGAAAGATTGCTCAGAGGTTAAGAGCACTGGCTGCTCTTCCAGTGGTCCTGAGTTCAATTCGCAGCAACCACATGGTGGCTCACAATCATCTATAATGAGACCTGGTGCCTTTTTCTGTCATGTAAGCATACATGCTAGCAGAACATTGCATGCATAACAAATAAATAAATCTTTAAAAAAAGAAAAGAAAAGAATGTAGGGATGGAGAGATGGCTCACAGGTTAAAAGCACTTGCTGCTCTTCCACAGGTCCTGAGTTCAATTCCCAGCAAACACACGGTGGCTCACAACCATCTATAATGAGATCTGGTACTCTGACATACATGCAGTCAGAACAGTGTATACATAATAAATAAATAAATCTTTTAAAAAAGAAAACAATATAACCAACCTTAATATGCAATAGTATATTTACTTCATTTGCAATCTCCTTTTATAACGTAAACTAAATGTATAGCTTTAATCTTAAACTATGATTCTTCCATGTCCCTGACTCAGAATAATGTGTGAGCCTGTGTGAACAAAATAACTCATAACTGCTGGAAACAACATGTAGATATAGGTTGAGAAAATCTGATTAAAATATCTGTTTGAGCCTGGCTTTGGTGGCACACGCCTTTAATCCCAGCACTCTGGAGGCAGAGGCAGGCAGATCCCTGTGAGTTTGAGGCCAGCCTGGTCTCCAGAGTGAGTGCCAGGATAGGCTCCAAAACTACACAGAGAAACCCTGTTTTGAATGCCCCCCCAAATCTGTTTGTAGGTCAGCTGGGGTGAGTAAAGTAACTTCTTCCCTTCTAAAACTCCTCAAAAAAAAAATCTTAATTCCTTTACCATATTGTGTTATCTGTGCTGTCAAATAAACAGAAAGCCCTTTGTTAGAGACAGACCATAGGACAGACAGACATCAGACCAAAAACTTCAGAAAGATTAAGAACAGAAGTGGAGATTGCAATTCTAGGCTTGCTCTTGATCTAAACTATCCTAAGGGAAAGTGTCTATTCTTCAATGAGTTGTCACCAACAGAGCCTCTGTGTCAGAGAAAGGAAAATGATGTTCAGTGAAACCGGGCTCATTTCAGAGGCATTAAAATGCAAGAAAATGTACCTCCTAAAACAGGTTAAGTGTAATTTACTTCATTTCTAGTCTGTACCACCAAAAAAGACTTCTGGTGTCCTCTGTTACCCAAAAGAAGCCACATCTAAGCAGCTGGTCTCAAGTGGCCCGAGCACTCATGAGAAACCTCAGATGGGCCACTCCTAGAATTAGGAAGGTTGGCTCTTTCAGCTCTTGGCCACCCTTTCTGCCCATTCTGTCCGTCTGTCTATGGTCAGAAGCATCTCACAGGATGGAGAGGAGCGATGTGGACCTCTGATCTCAGCACTCAGAGGCAAAGGCGAGCAGATCTGAGTACAGGCCAGCCAGATCTACAAACTGAGACCCTCTGAAACAAACAAAAGAGAAAAGAGTCTAATATCTGCTGACAAGGGAAAAGGACAGTGGGAACCCTAAGAGAACCTGTCTTCAGCTGTCCCAGTGCCTTTGAAGCAGGTGCCTGCAGTCACACACCTGAGTCCCTGAGGGGAGACAGTCTCCTTCCATGTGCCCTCTTCAGCACTGAGGGAAGAGCTGAGCAAAGCCTTTCTTAAATAAGAGAGAGAGGTGATCATACCTGTTCTTTCAGTGTAAGCTGCTGTTCCAGAACCCTGTGAAAAAAATGAAAACGGCTCCTTTAAAAGCTGGAAGCTGCAAAAGCTGATGACAGACAGGACACACAGTCTAGAAAGAGAAAGCACTGCTCAGAGCACAGGTTTTCAGGTTGGGGTTTGGAGAGGAAATGTTTGGGTTGTTGTTTGTGTAGATTCATTAATCAGTTGATTTTTTGTCGTGTTGTTTTTAACCAGGGTGTCTAAAATACTAAAGCTGCATCAAGTACTGAACCTATGCCTCTTCGAGAGCAATGCACTTTTTGTCTGTTGTCTCACACCATGGCCAGGCTGGCTTGAACTCACTACATTGCCCAGGCTGGCAGGAACTCCACAGGACTGAGGTGATAGGTGTGTACCACCATGCTCAGCCGATGCACTTTGAATTCAGAATAACCACTTCCATTTACTATTTAATACACAGACATTAAGTGGGAATTTTCAGATCTACTGCACAGGGTGCCTTCCTCTGTTTCAGGTTTCATTCCTTGATCACTCCTTACCCATCCTGAAAGAACTGCTGAATGAGTGAAGAAAATCCACATGACCATGGAGCCATGGAGGTGACCATGGCTGGGTCTCATGCATCCCAGTCTGGCCTTAAACTTGCTAGGTACTACCATGCCCAATTTATGTTCCTGGATCCTGGATATTGAACCCAGGACCATATGAAAGCCCTTTTTCTCTCTGTTTCATTTCCTGGCCTGGGGATTATTTTTAAAAAAAAAAAAAAAAAAGATCATCCAGCCTCAAGTTGATTCTGTTAATTAGATTAGTATATTCCTATTTATGTTTTGAATTTAGAGACAGGGTACCTCAGGCTGGTCTGAAACCCCTGGTGATTCTTCTTCCTCAACTTACTGAGTACTGGAATCACAGGCCTGTGCCACCATATTTAACTATATTAGCATATCTTGATATTCCATTTCTCACACAGTACTAGAAAAAAATCTTAAAAATTATGTTGGGCGTTGGTGGCACATGCCTTTAATCCCAGCACGCAGGAGGCAGAGGCAGGCAGATCTCTGTGGTTCGAGGCCAGCCTGGTCTACTGAGGGAGTTCCAGGACAACCTCCAAAGCAAGAGAGAGAAACCCTGTTCGGAAAACCAAGAAAAAAATTAATTTAATTTTATATGTTTGGTCATTTTGCATGAACTCATGTCTGTATGTCACGTGTATGACACGGGGCCCAAAGAGGATATTACATCCCCTGGAACAAGAGTTACAGGCAATAAGTCACCATGTGAATGTTAGGAATTGAACCTGGGTTCTCTGAAAGTGCAGCCAGTGCTCTTAGCCACTAATTGAGAAAACTATGTGACTTTGTGCACACCACATGCATTAGGAGCCAATAAAGACTAGAAGAGGGCATCAGATTACTTGGAACTGGGGTTACAGGCAAGACTGTGAGCTACAGTGTGGGTGCTAGGAACCAAATCTAGGTCCTCTACAAGAGCATTTACACTCTTAACCACTGAGCCATCTTTCCAGCCCCTAGTTGGGCTAATAAAACCATGAGGATGTTAGTTGTAGCTGAAGACCCCTGATTTCTTACTGTTATGAGGAGAACTCTTCATATAATGATTGAACTTCATGACAAAAAGGTTTTACCATGTAAAAGGCCATCCTTCAGGTCGCAGGTGAGTCTTTAGCTCTTTATACTGTTTTATGTTTCCAAGTATAGTCTGTCAGTCCTGGAGATGGTGATCTATTTCTGTGATCAAACAGAAAGACTACAGTGAGCACTGACCAAAAGGGAAGGGAATTTGGATATGGGGTTTTTGTTATTGTTTTTGAGATAGGGTCTCATCATGTAACTTTGGCTGCCCTAGAACTTGCTAAGTAGATGAGGCTGGCTTTCAATTCAGATGTTTACAAGCTTTTGCCTCCTGCTTGCTGGTATTAAAGGCTTTTAAAGAATAAGCCACCAGGCGTGTGGCACACATCTTTGATCCCAGCACTCAGGAAGCAGATCTGTATATATTCAAGACCAGCCTGGTCTACAAAATAAATTTCAGGACAGCCAGAGCAATCCTGTCACAAAACCACAACCCTTAATCCCAGCCCTGGGAGGCAGAGACATCTGCATCTCTTGAGTTCCAGGCACCTTTAGGTACATAGATCCAGGACAGCGAAGACTACAAAGGAAACCCTTCTTGGAAAAAAAAAATGAATCCAGAAGAAGAGGAGGAGAAGAGGAAGAAGAAGAAAAGAATATACCATAGGATACCAGAAAGCAATTTTTGATTTTCCTGTCCATAGTAAGGATGCTCATGTCATTTTGCCATTGTTATTGTCTACCTTCAGACTGAATTGATTGACATCCTAAGAGAAGCCGGAGGGGAGGGGGGGATGATGAAGATGG